CCCCAAAACCCCAAAACCCCAAAACCCCAAAACCCCAAAACCCCAAAACCCCTTTTCTCCAAAGGAAATTTAAAGTATAATTGGTAAAAATCTAAAATTTAACTCTTTTAACTTTCCTGGGTAATCTTTTTCTTCTTTTCAGCACTCAGGTTGCATTCTCTTTCTTCTTACTCTTCTCCTTAGTCACTCTTTTCTTAGCTCTCGGCTTGTGCTTGCTTAGAGATGTTTTTCTTGGCACCATTTTAGATTTTTGAGTGATCGATCATTTAGTTTCTTCGAAAGGGTCAACCCATTCACTATCTTCTGAGTCTATCAAGCTTGAAGTGGACAGTGTAGAGTCCTTGAAATATCAGTTGCTTTCATCACCTGTCTCTGTGTTATCCTTATTTTTCTTTTTGTCAATCTTGAGATGGGCTTCACCTTGTCTTCCTTTTCCCCTCTTTCTTTTTGTTAATTTATCGTCAGAGGTTAAAATCCTTGTGCTAGATTACTGTATTAATCTCCGAAATCAGGTAATTTATAGAGCTAAAATACTGGATATTCATCAGCAAGAAATATAGAACTGGTATCTAACTTAACCATACGCAGCCGGAGCGCTAATATATGGGAGATAATCCCCTTGTTTGTGTATCTTTGAAGGCCAGGATATTCTAAAGCACCTAAAAGCCAAACCTGTTGGACTCGTAGAACAATTCATGGTAAAATTAACTGGATATTGTCGCCAAGGAAAATTGATCTAAGTGCAACAAGTACATTAGGATTGGTCTAATTCAACTCAATTGTTCTCCTTCTGGTCTTCCAGTAAGCTCCCTAGTTAGTGAACTTAGGAGTATCGGTATTTTCAGAACATAACTTAATTAATCAAACTTGTTAATTTCTAAGGTATGAACATTCGAAGTGCATTATGTTTTGATAATTTTCCGAAAACTGGACGAATAGAGTACCAAATCTTATATTTAAAAGACTTCTGGAATCTTCACTTACTTCTTAGTGTTTTTGTAGCTTCCTGACTCTTGAGCGACTCTTTTGGCTTTACAGTCGTCTTTGAGAAGACTTGTCTTGACTGATTCTCACAGTCTTTCAAAAGCTTTCGTGGGCTTCTCGACACTAATCTCTTTTCATTTCTTGTCGTCAATATAATGTTTGTAAATCCCCTCGACCAGGGCTTTTGCGAAGCCCTGCTTTTGGTATGCAGGAAGTATGATGAACTGAGAGATGCGGTGGGTAGTCTTCTTCTTTTCTATTTCCTCAAATGTAGTCGAAAACCCTATCAAGCGGTATGAAGGAGGATTATTTTTGAACTTTTTGACAACTTCATATAGCAAGAAATAATGCCAACATGGATCTTGCTCGATAAATGAGGCGCTCTCTATGTAAAAGAACAGCAATGCTTGGAGAGAACGATTCAATTCCTTAGGGAATCACTTGTCTGTTACTCTAATCTTATAGACTTCATAATGACGATGCTTATCACATATTCTATCGAACGAATAAACTTTATTTACCCTTGGGTCTAAAATTATCTAGATCAGACTTCATCCAGTTCTGGAAGACTTCCTCGTTGATTGTGAGGTTTTTGCCAAAGTGCCTGCACAATTTCTCCTCGACAGTGTTTCTTTTCTTCACTCAGTCAGTGTAACGGACCTTCAGCAAAGCCCGAAGTGTCGCACAGCTGAGGTAAATGTCAATCTTGAGCCCCATGTAGCCAACAATCTTCTCCATATATGTGAAGATTTGATGGGTATACATCGGTTTGAAGGCACTCAAGGACTCGCTGTTGGTGAGCTTGTCCGTGTCTACCAAATGGAACTTGATAGTACTGTTGGCATCAGCAGTATAGCAGTCTAGCTTTCCTTCTTCTTTATTCATTTTCCCAATGCTTATTGATATACTTAAAATATTTTGATTTCCCAATGCTAAGCTTAGATTAAGGGGTTTTGGGGTTTTGGGGTTTTGGGGTTTTGGGGTTTTGGGG